GGCTCACGCGCGCTGAGGCGGACGAGGCCGTGCAGCAGACGCGCGAGGGCGCGAGATTAGCCGAGAAGAGTAGCGGCGCACCGTCTCGCACCGTTCGCCCTCGCTCGCCTTCGCTCGCCGCCCCATCTCGCCACCCACGAGCCCCTCTCGCCACCCGCCCTCCTCCCACTGCCCCCTGCCCCTCACCCCTCCCTTGGGTTGTCTGTTTTCTTTCTTTCTAGAGTACATGTGCTGCACTGGACATCAGAGGGCCAAGGGTTGGATCAAGCAGTGGGAAGGGGCTCGAGGTGACGCGCGAGCAGAGACCTACCTCCACGCACCGCCGCGCCGATCTTCGCGCGGGCCGCGGCGCGCATGCGCACCCAGGCCGCTCGCGCGCCGTCGCGCAGAGTCGCGCGTTGCTGACGCAAGAGGCCCGGCCGGTGGGCGAGCTGCTCCCACTTGATCGCAGGAGCAGCCGCAGGTGCTGCAGCCTTGTGCTGCCAGAAGTTCTCGAGCCGGCGCGCGCGGCTGGCCTTGCCGCCGCGCGCACGCCGCTTTGGCGCCGCGGGAGCGATCTTGTTGCTCACCGTCAGCACGCCGCACGCCTCCTCAGCCTTCTTTGGCCGCGGCCCCGCCACCGTTTCGTCCTCTCTGCCTGATCCCGCTGACTTCGCCTCCGGCGACCCCGCTCCCGACCCCCTGGGCGAGAACGGTGGCATTGGGTCACACCCACTTCCACCCCCGGGAGGTCGAGCCCGCTCTCCCTGGTCGGCGAGTCCTACCGCTAGCTCTCAAAAAGAAACAAAAACACCCACGACACCACAGGAGGAGACAGGGAACAGGCCGGAGACAGAGCCAAGGGCATCTGCCCCCGCCACGCAGAGGAGCGCCACTAGCCAAGAGGAGAGGAAGAGGCCCATCGAGTCCCCGCCCCAGCCTCCCACACTAGCACCACACACTCAGGCCCGAAGCCCATCTACTCCGAGAGCTAACGCCCACGTCGCTGTGGCAGCGACGCACCCCACTTCACCCGCTGGCGCGGTCAGGTGGAGGTCCTCTCTCGAGGGGGAGAGGCCGTACCTTAGGCCGCCGTTGAGCCGCAGCTCCGCACGCGCGAGCGCGATTTTTTTCTAGCCATGGTCGCCTGGCCGTGGTCAAAGCCTCCGCTGCCGCCGCCGCCGCCGCCTCACTTTATCGAGGCGCACGCCTCGTTCGTCGGAGTGCTGCTCTGCATCGCCGGCCCGCTCTCTTGCTACCTCTTGCTTGGGCCGCCGCTGAAGGCCAGGGCTCCATCAAAGCAGCACGGCCGCGCCACGATGACGACGATCGACTGGCCTCGCTTATCCGTTGCGGCGGCGCAACAGAGCAGAGAGGTATTCGTCGGCTGCGTCGCGCTATTCCTCGCCCTGCGCACCGTCCTTCGCATCGCCACGGGGCACACGCGGACCGCCGGAGCCGTGACCTCGGGCGAGCAGGTGGTCGGCGATGCCGCGAGCTTGGCGGCGGACGTGATGGCGTACAACATCGTCTCTCTCGCCTTTGCCTGCTCGAGCAGCGCCCTCGGCGTCTTCGAGTGGCTGGGGCCCATCCACAAGGTCGGCGGCACAGCCCTCGATCGCTTGTACGGGCGCTCGCCGCTGGCGGAGCGCCTCTGCCGCCTGACCGCGGGCTACGAGTGCTTCAACCTCATCGCCGTCGTGCTGCTGCCCGAGTACCGCACCGCCGCCTTCATCGGCCACCACGCCGTCACCTGCTTCCTCGGCGTCCTCCCCGGCGCGCATATCCGACCCCCTCCCTGAGCCGTCCCCAGACCTGCTCGGAGGCCTCGAGTAGGCGTTCTCTCGATGCACCCGTGGTGCCACTACTACGCAACCTTCTTCTTCGGCGTGGCGAGATTTAGCCGAGATGCGGCCAAGAGCGCCGGGATCTCTTCGGCGTGGCGAGCCTCTCTGGCGGCTGCGTCGGCTCTCCATCAGCCATCACGGTACACAACGTGAAATGAGGCAGTGTCCGCTGTGTACGCAGGCGAGCCTCTCCAGCGTGCCGCTCTGCGTGGGCGAGCTCTTCAGCGCGGCGGGGCTCGAGGCCCTCGTCGAGGCGTCCAAGCCGCCCTTCGTGCTGCTCTTCCTGCTGCTGCGCACCGCCTACTGGCCGTACGTCTCGGCCGGCTTCTGGCAGGACTCGCTCTGGGCGCTGGCCAAGCCCCGCGACCGCGCGCACTCCCTCGTCGCGTACGCGGCTCTGCTGGGCGCCAATGTCTTCCTCACCGGGCTGCAGGTGTTCTGGACTGGGCAGATATGCGCCGCGGTCGGAGAGGCGTTGGGCCAGCAGTGATCACGGCCGGCAAGCGGTGATCACCGCACAGATGCAGCGAAAGTCGGGTGCGAAGTGCGGTAACTACTTGTTATTGGGTACTTCGCTACACACCTTGTCAGACGCTCCGGGCACTTGGAGCACTTGGAGTGCAGTTGGCAACCGCACACCCAGAAGATCCCAGAGAGGGGGGGCCGCCCCCGGGGAGTGGCGGGGAGCTAACCCCTAACCGAAGGCGAAGCGCACCGCCCATCTCATCGGGACGGACGATTGGCGTCAGGTTACGGGCTAGAGAGCCCTACAGAGCCGTATCCCTGGGGGGCAGAATAATTGTGGGATTATGGGGGCCGGCACTCGACATGCCATCACAGCGTCGTAAAACTGGGAGGGTGTGGTGGGAGATCGCACATGGAGCATCAACATCAATTCAGATTACTATCCCGTGTCCTTGCTCGTCAGAGAGGACATTCGGCCCGTTTACAAACACTCCCAGGTTTTCCCCGGAAAGAGGCGGGATATGTTTATGTCCGAACTTGGGAATAACCCACTTAATATGAACAACGATCCGAACGTCTTATTCATCCTAATAAGAACG